TTAAGCCGGCTCCTGCAAATAAATGAAAGGAAAGTTTTAGTTAACTACCAGTAATGAATAATTCATAGGTAGGATTATGAATAAGAACAATTGCCATGACTTAAATAATGTTTCTGTAACTGGCATCGTATTTGAAATAGAACAGTTTATAGATTCACCTAAGAGAGGGGAGGTATATATTCTAAAGCTGATAAACTGTTAAAATTTAGAACTTCCTTCAGAGAGTATGTGCAGATCAATAGAAAGGAGCTCTTAAAACTCAGATATTCAAAGACAATGAAGTCGAAGCACATGCCAAGGAATTCACAATTCCCAATACTTTCTGTGCTTAAACATTCCATTTATTTGTATTGTTACTGTGTGTGTGTGTGTGTGTATGAATGTGTACACACACAAACTAAGGTCTTTTCTCCTCTAATTATAAAAGAAAAAAATGCTTGCTGACTTTTAAGTATAGAAAAGATTTTAAGGACCAGAATTCTACATACCTGAGTTATTTAGTTTTATCAAAATGCTTTAGTTCTGGTTTCATTGGCCCAGTGATTCTTATTTGTTTTAAAATATTGATTTGACCAATATTGATCCAATTAAAGAGCTTTCATAAATCTGTTGTTCCTTGTGTGGCAGTAACAACATAATGCCCTTGAAAGGTAAAGCTCCCTGAGGTAAGAACACTGACAGGATTGCTAACTTCCTCTCAGAAAGAACCACGTCCAATGGAAGACCACGAGACATCATTTTGAAGATGGCTAACCGTTGGTCTCTTACATCTAATATTTGTGCTCAAAAAAACAAAAACAAGGCTATGTCAGATGCCATTCGGTAACTGTACTCTGAGTAATTCAACCCCAGTTACTAAAACTAAAATAGTCACCCCATTAAATCCTCTTGGCCATTCTATCATGCCTATGTTAACTCTCCTTTCTGTCCAGGTGGCCTGTGTCATGTGACTGCTTCGACTAGGGCACAGTAAATTCTGTGGTATTCCCAATGAAATCCAAAGAGACAGGTTCTTATTTTTCAGAGAGAAAATATCATATCTTCTTACAGTTTTTAGTATTTCTTTTTAAAATATTTTTGTTTATTTTAATTAGGTATATATGACAGCAGCATGCATTTTGATTAATTGCACACAAAGTTCTTAGTATTTCTTTTAAAATCTTTCCCCAGTATATTAAAAATTTACATCTTTGCAGGACTCACACCAAAAAAAAAAAAAATCAGTATTTTCTACATGTGTTTTCTGGATGTACTGAACAAAGCTGGAGAAAAGTTCACATCCAAGACTTATGGGAAGTAGAGAATTAAACAGTACGTGAAGGCACATATGGTAATAGAAATTACACTGGACTAAATAAGAAGCTTTCACTTGGTTAATTTTCCTACTAAATATACGATTGATGAATTCGTTTCAATCTGTGAGAAGAAAAAATAACGGAAATATCTTCACTGCTTCTTGTACTGCTCTAAAGACAAGAGCGCCAAGCATGAAGAAAAGAGAATGTGTCACAAATACATGTCCAGTGTTTTACTCCCTGTAATTTTAGAATGGTAGTCTTTGCATATTCTTCTGGTTTAACTATCTGGCCCACATAAAAGTATTTTTTATAGTACCACTTTCTATGTATATGCTTATATTTACATTATATAAATATTTTATGATATATAAATAACATAATGATATACTATGTAATATTTGCATAAATATAAAATGACCTATGACAGGTAATATTGTTTGGATTTTGCAGAAATTTATTTTAGTTTTTTAAATTTTGTTTTCATTTTGAACCCTCTCAGGGTGAAGATTAAGCAGACTCTCTTGGTAGTCCACTGGAGTGTGTTCTCTGTCAGGAGCTCAAATATACTTACTGCATTCCAGGAAAACCTCAGCTACTTCATTTCATTCCATTTAATTCTCCCCATGCTTACACAACAAATGCTTACTGACACTCTACTACATGCTACTCTGTGCCATGCTTGGGGACTGAATTTTTATTATGAGCATTTTAGCTTTTTCAATTTTGTTTTAAATATTGGAAATGAAACATCAGCCATTCTATAATTTACTTTTCCAGAAGGTAAGCAGCATTGTGCTATTTCCAACTGAGTTTAGACACAAACACTTTGATCTTGTGTGTGTGTGTGTGTGTGTGTGTGTGTTCTTTCTATGCAATGTCTTATATGTTTACTCTGTTTGATGTGAAAATGTCATAGAACTGGGAAGTCTTTTCAGAGCATGTGATTCTACTTGATCAGTCTATATTCTCTTCAGTTTCCTTTGCCTAAATGATAACTATCTCCACAAAATTTTGTGAGCTCTGTTCTTTACCTGGTATATTTTCTAAATGAGAGAATTTACTGCAACAATCACATCTTTGCAGTAAGAGCTCCAGGATTTCTAATTAGGAGTAGAAATTGCTCTGGGTAGCAGTCTAAGTCAGAAGAAAAGGCTAGTTACAGGACCCACCTTAGCTACAGGAACTCTGCTAAATCATCCAATTCAATAAACTTTTGTTTCCACATTTATAGAATTAGAATATAATAGGTATCGCACAAAATTGTAATAAAGGTTAGTGAGATAAATTCAATGTCCCTGGCTTGTATTAACTGATTGATAAATGTATTATTAATATTGTATGGGCCATTAAAATTGAGTGGCAAAGCCAGGCATGGTGCCGAAAGCTGTAATCTAAACTATTTGGGAGGCTGAAGAAGGAGGATGGCAAGTAAGAGACCAATCTTGGCAACTTAGAGAGAACTCAACTCAAAAAAGAGCCAGGGGTGTAGCTCAGTGAGTGGTTAAAGCAACCTTGAGTACTTGAGTAGTTCAGTCCTCAGCACCAAAACAAAACAAAAAAACCAAACACTTGAGAGGCAATACTAGAACATGCTTGGGTTTGTTTTCAAAACAGATTGAAGATATTAGACAAGATTATTGTTGCCAAATTAAGAAGAAAAAAATTTTAGAGATATTATATAATCTTTGTATTTGGAAGCCAAATGCAACAGATTTATAAATAAATAGTTTCCAAACTTGGCAAGTATTGAAAACTGCTTAGAAGCATCCAGCTTTTCTTTATTAGCAGAAATAAATGGTAATGTTGTAATGCTGATTTCCCTTCCTAAATTTCTAATTATTACATAATATAATTAAGGAAGAATACAAATAACATGATATTGTAACAATCTCATTTCCTTTATGTTTGCTGTTTCTTATCTTGATTTCCTATTTCATAAAGGAGTAGTCTAAGGAAAACAACATATAGATTGGATTATTTAAAACTAAGAATGAGCTGAATGTGGCTGGCTACTCTACTTCTAGGAAAGGATGATATTAGGATACAATAAAGGAGATTAAATGTAGATGCCTTCAAGAACTTCAAAATTTTAAGAAGTGAAAATACTATCAAGTCATAAAATGTATTGACTTTGCTTCAAATTAGGTATTATGTAAGAATTTTAAAAGTTCAGAATATTCTCTGTATTGTCCCTGAACCAGCAATGCTTGCATTACCTGGGCCCTATCCAGACTGATTGGATTTTAGTATGGTCCTCATGATCTGCACAGAGAAATTCTGCTCTAGGTCACAGTTCTAGGCCCTTTGTATTAATAGGGGGCAAAAAGGATCAGAGGCTAATTTGCTTTTATATATTCTTATGTTCTTTTCCCCTTTATATATAAGCTATTTTCACACTTAAGTAAGTTTCAATACATTATCATTTTATTGTTCTCACTCTCTTCACTGTAATTTTGGCTTTAGAAAGAAGGCATCTTGGGTCTTGACTACTTTACTTGAATCATCCCATAGAAGGCAGTTCCCTGCCATGATGTATCCATCATGAGCCTCTTTGTCCCACTAAAAGTTCAACCTTTTGAGGATCCAAGAATGTTGTAAGAGGATTTATTTTGATAAGTTGTATCCAACAAGAAGTTAAAGGGAGCTGTGTCTCAGACAGAAGAATAAATGAAGGACATCCCCATGATGGAACATGAAGACCTACCTGCATTAAGTACGAAGCTCTGAGAACAAACAAGATGTCAGAGAAGGAAAAAGGCAGAACTGCATTAGGAAAGGCAGAGCGCTTTGTTCACCTGGGGCCTTTTGTGCACCGTGACTCATGCCACATCTGAGTCTACCCAACTGGCTCAGTAGTACAGTTGAGGCACCTGTGTGTACGTGTGTGTGTGTTGGGGGGGGGGGATGACCAAAAGTCTGTGGATTCCAATAAAGGTGCAAAATATGTCCCTAAAACACTTTTTCAGAGGAAGTAGATCGATTCTGGTTTCCCTGCTTATAGTGGCTCAGTACTTACTACCTGCTGCAAAGGGAAAATAATGGGAAAAGAAAGGGAGAGATAAATAGTGTAAGTCAGACTTGGAGGCAAGCTGAGGAAATCTACAGCTTAATGAAAATTTTGCCAGAGGTCTTTTGGGCTTTCATGCCCTTCCACTTTATATATTGCTCAATATATACAGTAAAATCCATGTCATTCCTTTATAAAGTCAAATTTATCTTAAGGAGAAGAAGAAATTTCTGTTTGGGGTACCAGAGATTAAACCCAGAGATGCTTCACCACTGAGACACACTGCCAGTGCTTCTTATTTTTTGAGACAGGGACTTGCTAAGTTGCTTAGGGCCTCACTAAGTTGCTGAGGCTGGCTCTGAACTTGTGATCCTCCTGCCTCAGCCTCCTGAGCTGCTAGGATTACAGGTGTGTACCACCCTGCTGGTCAAGCAAATTTCTTTTATTTCTATGTACTGATCTACTTTTGGTCTAAAATATATGTTAAGATGGCAACACCTCTGTTGTGGATTGTTTTAGGGTTGCCCGGACAGTATATTTGGGCCAAAGAGACAACCAGTAGAGTTCATCTTTAGTAAAACTGAGAGGGTTTTCATTGCCTTAAACATCATCATTGTCATTATTATCTTAGAAAGAGTATGATTATATATAATTAATTATAATGAATTACTTAGAAAGATTATGATTATATAATTAAATCTATGTCTAATTAATAAAATCTATTTCTTAAATTTACTCCAGTTAACATTGTAGATTAAAGAATCTAAACTAGAATAATTCCAACATACCTAAAGCAGCCCACCAATGTGATGTTAAGGGGAATTCCAACATGACTGCAATAGAAAAAAATAAAAATAAAAAGGTGTTACTCATTTTCAAAGTATGCCTTATTTTTTCCACTGGTGAAGAAATATGTATTTCTGTTCAGTCAAATCATACCCATATACCAAAGAAAGATTTTATACATATTTGTGAAATCAGGTCATCCTGAATTTGTCTTTAAGCCATGGTCTAAAAGTTATTTGTTAGGTCAGATATTAGGAAGGCTTCTAAAAATGGTGCTCTGAATTGTCAGGGTCTCAGGTCAGCTCACAAAGTAGATTGAAGTAGCCTACAGCAGTCTTGTTCTTGTTCCAGGCATTGAATCCTCAATGCCTGGCTCCCTCTGGAATTCTGAACCACTTTACTCTGAACTCAGTTCTAACAAGCAATCAAGCAATTATTTGTTAAGTATTTTTTGCATGCCATGTGTAGTAATAACTTCTGCATCCAAAACCTATGGCTTATTTAAACTTTGAGGAGTGGACTATCTTATGCTAGCCTGTGGCTGCCTTGCAGGAAAACTTGAGCCCTAAAGTAAAACAGAGAATCTGAGGTGGGGGGGGGGATCAGTGATTCTTTGAATTACTGAGGGAGGGTTTGTGTCTGAGAAAATTGATGCTAGAGGATCAATATCTGGTATTCTCTAATAGCAGTGAAGCTGGGAAGTGGCAATTCATTTAGAAATTGTGTGCTTCTAAGGATACTAAAAATATGAGTTATTTAAATTGGTAATAACAATAATAAATGCCAAATTATAAATTGAGTTTGATCTCACCCACACTTTGACTAATATGCTTTTTCAAAAATAATAAATAAATAATGGAGGATGAAAAGGGAGAAAAAGTAGACTGGAAGAATAAATTTTGAATGATCAGATAAATAGATGGATAAACCTATCCTTTACTGAGTAACTGCTATACTAGATTCCATTTCAGACAATTTTATAAGCTTAATGAAACTGTACCAGGTCCCTCACTTTTGCAGTGGAAAGAACTAATGTAAGAGATGTGACATGTCAAAGAATACACTCCAAGTAACGGTAAAACGAATGCATTTTTTTTTCCTGACTCTAAAGATCATGGGTACAGAGGAAAAACTCCTTAGAACTGGTAGTCTTATTAAAATAACCGTTGTTGGCAAGTTCCCAGGCTTGCCAACAGTCAGGGTTCCTTTGAGTCCTAAGTCCCAGTCTTTGGTCAATTTTTACCTGAAGAAGGAATTGGAATGAAAAATATTCCTTACAGAGGAAAAACAGACCCTTTAATAGTGGGTGGGCACGTTGGATATGGAAAGAGAACAGGAAACATTTCAGTAGGGTTCCCAATCAGAAAATGGAGCTGTCAAACCTCTCCAAGAGAAGTGGTAGAGGAACTTGGTTGGGGAGGAGGAGAAGCAGAGGAGGGAGGAACTTTAATCATCATAGGAATATATGCTCTTAGAACGAGATTTGGAGACAACATGAGATTTAGTACATTTTCTCTGTTTTCATTATTTTATTTTGCTTACCAGTTGAAGTGATAGCAACATGAAGAATAGTTACTGAAATAGCATAATCCCAAACCCACTCTTCCACAACCAGAGCAAAAAGCAATCCACAAACAAAGTAGGTGACCTCAGTTGAGAATAAAAGAACTGCAAATAAAAGGAAAAATATAACTATTTGGGATTAGAGCGATTAAGTGTTCTGAACTACAGCTGACAATGAGACCATGAAAATGCATTCTGCTTTTGGTAAGGACTTTTACAATGTTCCATCTCATACCCAATCCTCAAATATTGGTAGGAACTTCTAACATATTCTATCTGTTAATTAAATTTAGACTTGCAGAAAAATAGCTAAAAATATAATTTCTGCTTCATATTCTTAGTACTTAGCATTTTAGAAGATAAAATAAAATAAAGTTACAATATAAGCTATACATGCTGATCTGTTATTGTATTGCAAATCACATTTTAAGAGACACTAAAATTAATAAAATCAATGAAAGAAATTTGTTCTGAATTATTATAAACTCTCTATATATTATATATATTTAATTATATATACATTTAAATACACACACAAACACACACACACACACTCATACACTCATACACTAACCTTTCTTTGGTACCAAGCTGTGCTTAACTTAGAAATAAGTTCCTTTGTGTTTTTGTACTAATTTGATATGTTCAGATAGTCATCTGGGAAACATAACTGATCACCATGGATGAAAGAAAGCCTCATAAATGACAGGTGTGGGTGGAAGCACTTCTAAATTCACTGGTTGTCACAGAGTCATTTCCCTGAACATGTATAAAGAGATAGTTATTTACAGGTCAGGACCACAAATCTCTAAGAGCTCGGAACATGTGAAGGGTCAACCTTTTGCCTCTTGTCTTTTATATTGCTCTTTAAAACTACAGTCGTTTCAAAGGAGAAATACATCAAACTTTAAAGTGACAAATATATGTGATATACTACCAAAGTCCCTTTGTAAATAATACTACTTTCCATAAAAAAATTACTTTTCTTTCCTTTTAAAACATAGCCAATGATTGGTATGTTCATACAATTCAGGAACTAATAAATCTAGGCAGGCAAACTATATTTTTCAAAGCAGAAAATAAAATTATCACTTTATTTCCTATTGTGCAGAAGTAGTTTATTAACCAGCAAACCAGTGTTTGCCTAATGGGTAAGCAAGACATCAGGCAAGCAAGTCCCAGGTGAAATCTTTTTTAAAGGATCACCCTTGTCCCTCTTCAATTGTATTTAACTCAATAGGCTTCAAAGATTGAATGGAGAATTCATACTTATTCCTTTACTGTTGCATGGACATTCATTTGACCAATACTGATTAGTTCAGCATGTTATGCTCCATAAAATCAAGGAAGGAGCTCTCCTGCAGTATCACAGTGATATCACCTCACCTGTCACACTCTACTCCTTCCTTGAAACATAATTCATAGAGCCTCCACATCATTATAAGAAAATAAATATACCTTTTCTATCAGCATTTAGGAATTTTTTAGGTTAACTAGGAGTTGCTTGGAAATAGTGATGTTAGCCTTGCACAAGCTGTATTTGCATATATTGATAGAGAATATGGATGTAGACTTCATTTATGATATAAAAGAAAGCTTGTTTTAAAGGACATTTAAAAATTTGAGATTAGGATACCAGCATCCTACAATTTAAGAGTTCTAAGACCTTGAGCAGGATTTTAACCTCTTGATCAATCCATTTCCTTCCCCATAAACTGGAAGTGTGGTACTCTCTTATCTACTTCAAAATATTGTTGGGAGGTTTTTAATTTAAAATGAAATGACTTGATGAGCTATTCTCTGCAATGCAAAGGAAAGAATTAGAAATCAAAATAGTGTAACTGGGCAGTTCCAGTGTCCTTGCTCAAAGTGATCTCCTGAGTAACAAAATTATCAAGACAAAGAAACCTGAACCTAAATTCAAGCCCAAGGCTCAGCGATTACTCTTATATTTTATCTCCAAGATTAAACAAGTAGTCTGGATTCTCAAAGCAACAACCCTCAAGAGTCAGGGCACTTATCACCCAGAGCCCAAAATTAAAGATTTAATAGGCTAAGGGTTTATTGATATCTTGGTACAAATGTTCATGTCTCATAACAGAAAAAGCAGCGTAAACTGAGCCAGACATCCTGGGGATCTTCACTAATCTTTGCTATGTATAAACATAGCCTTCTCCAGAAAGCCTGTGACATTGTCCTATCTTCACTGACTGATTCAAAGGCAAAGATTTTAAATTAACAAGAGTTTTAAATTTCTCCCTCTACCCAATACACCCACATGCACCCAAACTTTGCTTTACTGTAACTATTTCCTTATCATTTGTGGAAAGTCTTGATTAAAAAAAATGTTAATTTAACCTTTAATAGTGAAGAGCTTGAAGAGAGGGTTAAGATCTCCTTGCATCTCCTTACAATAAATATCTCTTGTTCTTACATATTATTTGATATTCAAAATTGAATCAAATTACATCAAACAAGGCTACTCATTTGAAGAGGATGTTTGAAACCTTTTTAAAATTTTTTTTTTTGTCTTAATTCAGGCCAACTTTCCTAGGCAAATCATATTTAAAATCTGGTTTCTTTAGGGTGTAAAAAAGGATAAGTTTCCTGATGATAGGGACTTGTTTATCATTCAATCCCTAATCTTAATTAGCAAAGTTCATAATACATTGATATTCAATAAATATTTGCAGAATTAATTAATTTATAGAAAGAATGGGACAGGGGAAACAAGAAATAGAAGACAAATCAAAAAGCAATTATAACAACAGGAAGAAAATGCTGGGCTTTTAATGATCATCTAAGTGTACTACCATTTCTAAAAAATAAAATAATAAAATAAAAATAAAATCTTAGTTCTTTGGTTTCAGGTAATTTTGAATATTTGCATATTTTCCCCCCCAAAAAAGATTATCCCATGTTTTCTAATGAATTTTAGTGGTTAAAGAATTGACAATTCATTTTTTTAAAGAGTAGGAAGAAATTTATCAGATTATTAAGAATAATTATACATAGAAAGTAAGTTTGCGATTTAATTTTTCTCCTTTCTACTTATAGATATTTTCTAAGCTTTCATTAATGTGTATTATTTTATAATGGAAAATTATATTAAAATTTTCCTTTTTAAAAAGTGGGACAAATTTACCATGAACAACCTCAAAACAAGTCTGCTTGGCATATATTCAATACAAATGGCTGTTTTTATTAACATACATATGGCTTATCAACAGATGAGGTTTTAGCTAACTATAAATTCAGCACAAATACTAAATTTAAAAGATAAGTTTAATCTTACTTGGCATGTTCTTTCTCATTGTTTTTCCTGTGCAATGAATTATTTGTATACTTTTATTTTTTAATTGACACATAGTAACTGCACATACTTATGGGGCACAGTGTAACAGTCAGTTCAAGGTAACCGGCATATCTATCACCTGAGACATTATGATTTCTTTGTGTTGGAAACATTCCAAATTCTCTCTACTAGATATTTTTCAATATCCAATTAATTGTTGTCAACCTGAGCTATCTTACTGTGCTCTCAAACATTTCCTCTGCAACAAATCCTATACTATTTTGGGAAGAAAAAAAATACAAAAGAGAAATGTGTAAGTAGAAAAATGAAAGTCCTCTGTCATCCCAGATGGGAAGTAACAGTCTGTTGTATAATTTTCCAGACTGGTACCATGTATTTTACTCTACTCTTCACAAATAAAATTTCACTTTCTATTTCATATAGCAGGAACATTTTGCTACATCAATAAATTGTCATTCTTCTTTTTCTTTGAAATATTTATTGCACACAACTTCACCCATAATACCAGGAAATAAAAATTCATATAAGAATTCTAATTCCTGTTCTCCACTTACATCACCTTATGTCTTAGAAGCAGCCATTTAAACATCTTCTGATGGTACTTTTCCTAATTAATTTTTGATGTCAGATATAAGATACAGATGATTGATAAGGATTAGAATTTAAAATAATTACCTTTATAATTTGTGTTGAGCCATGAAGGATTTGTTTTGAAATCAAATGGTGCCAGGACATCCAATTCATACACCCTGAGATGTTACAAAGGAAAATGTTTACTCTGGAGACAGTTCATAATGCACATCACAGCTTTGCACACCACTATTCACATACAAAAAATATGCCATTAAGAAGCCTTCAGAATCATATGGTCATCTCATAGATGCAGAAAAAGCATTTGACATTATATTTACCCAGGTCAAGCACACTTAAAAACTTGTCAACTTGGATGGCCACCAACAAAATAAGATTTTGTTCATGTTGTCTTCCTTGTCCAATTAAATTCACTTTGTCCACCAAGTGGACTTAATTGCATTTGAAGACTCAGCTGTGATCTTGGTAGTTCCTTCCACTGCATGTTGAGGGGAGAGAACTTGTACATGGAAAGAGCAGAGGGTTAGAAGCCATGAGACCTAGGTTCTAATTCTGGTGGTGTTTGAACTATGAGCGTGGACAAATCACTTAACCTCTCAGGGTTTCAGTTTCTTAACTGTAAATTGAAGAGATTAATCTCTAAGATCCCTTCCTGTCTAAAATATGAATCTATAAAATATATACTTGGACATTCTACTGTGCCCAAGTTTGTAATTATGTGCAGCTGGTCAACCAGTTAGCTGCCACCTGGAGCTTTAAGGTCCAGTTACTTCAAATTTCTCACCAATGATTCACATTAACTACAAACTGTTGAAATCTCATTCTCAGAGAGCCCTGAAGAGTCTTTCCTCTTCCCTGCTTGAGGGATAGTTTCATCATTTCCAGTGTCAGGCAGCAGCTGAGACTGTGTGTAAGCACTAGAAGCTTCCTGATTGGGTTTGCCTGCAAGCATGTTGAATAACATTCTTTCTGTTGAAAAATCTGGAATAATTATTTGGTGATATAAATTTACATTTTAAAATAGAGAGTCTTTGCTTGCCCAGTGAAATTAAAATGTATAAATACTCAATTTTTAGAAAATGATTTATAAATATCCACAATCTATTTCAAGGCAATGAATGCGTTGGCAATCTAAATTTGTAGAAAAAATTTTCAGCCATCACGACACAAAAAATCACCTGAAAAATAAACCTGATTCTTACATAGAAATGTATCGTTTCATTTTGTCCTGATGATAATCCCTTTGGGGATTATTATTTCCATTTAACAAAAGAAGACACTGAAATAAGACAAATTCTATGGCTCAGTCAAAATGAGTCAGGAAATTAGTAAGAACCCATGCCAAAATGCAAATCTCCTGACTTACAGTCCAAAGCTACTTCCAGTATATGTCAGAAAATATTTATATTGGATGTAGGTTATCTTGAAGCTCATTCTACTCCAAAACTCTTCTGATTCCAAACCAGCTCAGGAAATAATAACTTCATTTTCTTTCCATGACTGTCCTAAAAGAGATAAGAACAGTCCTGCCTGTTTCTACCTACTATATTTCAAGACAGTGATAATTCTCAAGATGAAACATTTATTTTTTACTTTAAAAACAAAAGTGAAAAACCATACCATTAAACAGCCTTCAGAATCATATTGTCATCTCAATAGATGCAGAAAAAGCATTTGACAAAATATAGCACCTCTTCATGCACAAAACACTAGAAAAACGAGGGATAGTAGGAACATACCTCAACATTATAAAAGTTATAAATGCTAAACTCAAGGCCAACATCATTCTAAATGGAGAAAAATTGAAAGCATTCCATTAAGAACTGGAACAAGACAAGGGTGCCCCATTTCACCACTTTTTTTCAACATCATTCTTGAAACTCTAGCAGAGCAATTAGACAGAATAAAGAAATTTAAGGGAATAAATAGGAAAACAAGAACTGAAACTAGTTGCCAATGGCATGATTCTATATTTAGAAGATCCAAAAAATTCTACCAGAAAAATTCTAGAACTAATTAATGAATTCAGCAAAGTAACAGGATATAAAATCAATTCCCATAAATCAAATGCATTTCTACACATCAATAATGAATCCTCTGCAAGAGAAATTAGGAAAACTACCCCATTCACAATAGCCTAAAAAAAATACTTGGGAATCAATCTAACAAAAGAGGTGAAAGGCCTCTACAATGAAAATGACAGAACACTAAAGAAAGAAATTGAAGAAGACCTTAGAAGATGGAAAGATCTTCCATGCCCTTGGATAGTCAGAATTAATATTGTGAACATAGCCATACTACAAAAATTGTTATATAGATTTAATGCAATTCCTATTAAAATTCCAGTAACATTCTTCATAGAACTAGAAAAAGCAATATGAAATTCATTTGGAAAAATCAAAGACCCAGAATAGCCAAAGCAATCCTTAGCAAGAAAAGTGAAGCAGGAGGCATCACAACACCAGACCTTAAACTGTACTTTAGAGCCACAGTAACAAAAACAGAATGGTATTGGCACCAAAATAGACATTCAAACAAATGATACAGAATAGAGGCCACAGAGACAAACCCACATAAATACAGTTACTTCATACTAGACAAAGGGACTAAAAACATTCATTGGGGAAAAGATAGCCTCTTCAACAAATGGTGCTAGGAAAATTGGAAATCCATATGTAGCAAAATAAAATTAAAACTTATCTCTCACCCTGCACAAAAAAATCAACTCAAAGTGGATCAAAGACTCAGGCATTAGAAGAGAGACCCTGTTCCTAATAGAAAACAAAGTAGGCCCAAATCTTCACCATGTCAGCTTTGGAACTGACTTCCTTAACAAGACTCCTAAAGCACAAAAAGTAAAATCAAGAATCAATAAATAAGAAGAAACTAAAAAGTTTCTTCTCAGCAAAGGAAACAATTAATAATGTGAAGAGAGAGCCTACAGAATGGGAGAAAATCTTTACCACATGCACCTCAAATAGAGCAATAATCTACAGGATATATAAAGAACTCACAAAACTTAACACCAAAAAAACAAATAACCTGGGTGAGGGCTGTAGCCCAGTAGCAGAGTACTTGCCTAGCTCATGTGAGGCCCTGGGGCCAATCCTTAGCACCACATAAAAATAAGTAAGTAGAATAACGGTGTTGTGAAAAAAAAAAATAACCCAATCAATAAATGGGCTAAGGATCTGAACAGATACTTCACAGATGAAGAAAAACAATCGTTCAACAAATATATAAAAAAATGTTTAACATCTCTAGCACAATTAGAGAAATACAAATCAAAACTACACTAAGATTTCATCTCACTCTAGTCAGAATGGCAATCATCAAGAATACAAGCAATAATAAATGTTGGCAAGGATGTGGGGGAAAATGTATACTTATACATTACTGGTGGGATTGCAAATTGATATAACCACTATGGAAAGCAGTATGGAAATTCCTCAGAAAACTTGGAATGGAACCACCATTTGACCCAGTTTTACTTCTCCATTGTGTATACCAAAAGGACTTAAAATCAGCATAGTATAGTGACGAGGTCACAACAATGTTTTTAGCAGTTTAATTCACAATAGCCAAACTATGGAACCAAAGTAGGTGTCCTTCTACAGATAAATGGATAAAGAAAATGTGGTATTTATACACAATGGAATATTACCCAGCCTTAAAGAAGAATGAAATTATGGCATTTGCGGATAGATGGATGGAGCTGGAGAATATCATGCCAAGTGAAAAAAGCCAGTTCCAAAGAACTAAAGGCAGAATGTTTTCTCTGATAAGCAGATGCTAATTCACAATGAGGGGTGGGTAGGAAAGAATAGAGGTACTTTGGGATGGACAGTGGGGAGTGAAGGGAAGGGACGGTGTATGGGTAGGAAGTACAGTGGAATCAACTGGATATTATTACCCTATGTGCATGTATGACTGCACAACTGGAGTAATTATACATCACATATAACGAGAAGAATGAGAAGTTATACTGCATTTATGTATAATGTGTCAAAATGCATGTATAACTAATTAGAAACAAATTTTAAAAGATCCAAACTATATGAGGGCTTATTTCCTCAGCTAAACAGGGATACTGTTGCTCTGCATGAATGTTTTCTTTTCTTTTCTTTTTATTTTTAACATACTCTAAAATTTTGTAAACAAGTTTCCAACATTTAAAACCCATGTTATGATCACAACACTTTTGATAAATTGTTAAGCTACAAAAAAAAAAGAAACCTTCATTCCCTTGTCCACAGAGACATTTCAAATATTAAATACCAACTCCTTTTATATTTGATGATAACTTTTTAATTCAAGAGAACATGCTACTTACTGTAGTGTCAGGCAGCACATGCTCAGAGACACATAGTACACAGAGTAGAACAGGATGAGGCATGTAATAAGGTTCTGTAGAACAACCTGTGGAGAAGACAAGCATGTGGTCCCAGAGCTGTTTCCTATGGTTGTCATTAGTGACTCTGACAAACAAAATATCATGAATGGATTCTACATAGTGCTGGCCAGCCTTGGGTTGGATGGGGACTCATGAGGTGGGAATGACTTCAGAGTGCAAAATGAAAGCATTTCTGATCAAAGAGGCTGGCAGAGTATGTACATTTGTACCAAGGATTAATTCAGTACACAAATCCATATCATTACCCTCCGTCCACCAGGACAAATTTCCTAAATACCAACACCTATATCTTAATTTGATTAATTTATTCCAAATGTCAGCTAAAATAGTAATAAAAATAGGAAAGCCGGTAAGAAGTTTGGAAGTGAAAAAAAAAATCCACAGAATAATACGGTGATTAAGTCTGTATGTAAGAATTTCCAGAGCAATTGGCTGAATCACAATAGATGATCCTGAAATGGACTCTTCCTCATCTGAGCCTTAATAAGCAAGCACATTAATGGAGACCAGCTGGATTACTCAACAAAGGTGGTGTGAAAATTGTCTGACCTCTAAATAGAAAAAATCCCATTAGATTCTGGTCTTATGTCAGATACCACAATCAATTTCAAATGGATTAAAGACTTACTGCCAAAAAAGAGGTTGGGAGAAAATATTTGCAACATATATATCATAGGCAAAGGGTTGATATCTATAATATATAAACTCATACAAATAAAAAAGCAAACAAACCAACAGGAAAAAAAATGAGCAAAGAATATAAATATATCAGTATCTCATGTGAAGAAATACTTAAAAAGCCAGTAGAGAATCAAAAGCATACTGAACTTCACTATTAATCTTGCAAAATATATTCTTATGAATAAAACAAAATGTCAGTATTTTGCACAGGAATTATTAGATTTATTTTGTTCACTTTTGAATCTTTTTTAAAGTTTTTTTTTTTTTTGTTTAGCCAACACTCTTTAACACTTTAGGATTATTCATTTTCTCTGAATGACCAGTTCATCAAATTCACAAGTTCTTGAATAGTTTGGGGTGCAGACGATGCTCTCCACCAGAGGCAAGAGAAGGTCATTAGCACACAGCACACCACATCCAGGTGCCCGAATAAACCACATTTTTACAGATTTACCAAGAATTTACTTCTTTTGACTACTTAAAAATGGGTGAACTGGTGGTGCTGAAGGTGTGGTTCAGTGGTAGATGCTTGCCTAGCACACCACGCAAGGTATTTTCCCTCCCTACAAAATAAATAAATAAATAAACAAACAAACAAACAAATAAATAAATAAAGGGGTGAACTGTCAGAGCCAAGAGGACTGTGGGAATCCAGGACTGTCAGACACTGGGATCTTCAGCATCTTCCCACACCCCACCCACCAGCATCCTCACTCCTCTTAGTCTCTGTTGTATAATCTCTTTCTCCCCACCCCTCATTTTAATCTCCCCCCTTTTCCTTTAGAATCTCCATATTTTACCTTTTAATCTCCCCTCCCTCAGGTTCCTCAGCTTCCCTTCCCTCATTTCTTTATTTTCTCTGTCCTCTTTATCTCCCTAAGACCTGAATAGCCTTGTGGTTCCATCATGGCTGACACTAAACATTTTAAAAGAAGATGTAAAAGAATGTGGGCTGGGACTGTAGCTCAGTGGCAGAGTGCTTGCCTGGCATGTATGAGGCACTGGGTTAGATTCTTAGCACCACGTAAAAATAAATAAAATAAAGACATTCTATACATCTACAAGTACAAAAAAAAAATCTTTTAAATGGGTGTAAGAGTCTCTTTTCTTTTATTAGAAAATAAAAATTCCTTCCTAGAAGTCCCCATCAGGCTTCCCATTTTACTACATTGACCATCACCATGCCAGGTGCCCATGGACTAAACAATCACAGGCAAAGAGTCGGAGGGGGCTGCCAGGATGGGTTTGTAGTATTGTGACTTTGCTCCTAGGGATGGACAGCTACTGCCTCCATAAAATGAAAATTGAAGTTCTATTAGCAAGGCAAAAGTAATAGGCATGGGTAACTAGTAGTGTCTTCCAAATGGAGGAATAAAAATGTAAAGGGCTAAAAGCCCTCATTTTGTAGCGATTATTCATAGCTCAGGAGAAAATGTGAAATCTTTATCTGAGATGAAGGTTCAAACATGCTCACGAATAAACTTAATTTCTTTCCAAGTGTTGGGAAGAGAATCTGCTGATGTGAGATGGGTATGTAACACGGAGAGGCTTCTTCAGCCTTATAATTTTCTTAAGAGTCCTGGGTCTTTGGGTTTCCTTTGCTCTTTATGCTACGTATTAATATTAGTTTTTCTTTTAATTTGAGCACTAATATCTTATAAGTTGAAATTTTTCCAGGTAATTGGCTTATTTTAATTCAAAATAAGATGAGTAACATATAGTCTCTGCACCAAGACATACTTTCAAACAAAACTATTTTTATTTCTATATTAATATTGAACTTTAAATGTTATTTTAATTCTTAAACACACAATTGTTGTAAAATTTTACTTTTATAATCCAGAGAATTGTGTTACATACATAGAAAACTCACAAATACTAAATCTGTTCAAGATTTTAGAACTGTTTTTGAAAATTTAGTCATAATTTGTGAGAGAATATATTTATTAATGATTTCATATATAGATGCCTACTTTTTGCAACAAATTCATAAAACACTACATAAAATATGATGTTAAAATAATACATTTAAGATAAGTTTACAAGGAATGTTTTTAAAAGGAAAACATATTTTTTGTAAATAATTACTTTTTTCTACCTGAACTGTAAATCCAGATTTTCAAGTGATAATTTTTCAATACCCAAATTCACTTCCCTGGAGTTACTTCTCCCTCCAATCTAATTCAACCCAACCTATAGAACTGACCTTCTAAAAGACACACAATGGCATTCCTCTGCTTGATGTCCTTTTGTGGCCCCACACTATTGTCAGTATTCATTCAATCATTTTTTTTTTCCTATTTTACAAATGGTCACTGAGCTGGGCACCAATGCGAGATGAATTAAATTATAGTCCCAGCCATGGAGCTCTGCTCTAATAGTCATTCTCAAAAGCACAAGTTTCAGGCTCACATTGAGGATCTGTTAAGATGCAGATTGTCTCAGAGTTTCCGATTTAGTAGGTTGGGATGGGCCCCAGGAATCTGCCTTGCTACTAGGGATGTTTGGTCTGCTGTTCCTGTGACCACACTTTGAGAGCTACGCGGATCCAGAGGCAAGAATGATGAGTAAACAGATTGCTAAAATACAGAAAGAGGAGCTATGGTTGAGGGATGTTCAGAATGCTGTGAAAGCCCAAGGGAGAAACCAGGGGAGGATACATAGTGTGTGGGTACTGTGAGGGCACACATATTTTTCCAGGAAATGTTCAACAGTAACATTTATCATAGGTTTACAATATATCAGGAACCATTTGTACAATGCAGTACTTCATTTGTTCCTAACAACAAATGAGTGGCAGATTCTATCAGTATTCCTTTCTCAGGGAGAATAAAAATGAAGGTCAGAGATATTTAGTGACTTTTTCAATTTGACAATAAATTGTAGAGCTAGGACTCAAATCTTGCTATTTGTGATGAACTGGGGCGAGGGTGAGGGGTTGCTACAGGCAGGAGAAGCACTTGTGAAGACTTGACTGAAGCTAAGCTGAAGGGGAGGTAAGAGTATTTAAAGAGTTGAGGTCAGTTGTGAAGGGAATTTTTTGCCTTGATGAAGAATTCTGAATGTCTCTAAAGGCCACAGGGAGACTGCACAATTGAAGGAGTAGTATGGATCCGAGGGGCCATTAGGTAAGGAAGCATTTAAATGGGATTTTAATAACCTAGGCAAGCAGGGGAGCTGGAAAAAAGGGCAGATGCATGAGCTACTAAGGAAACAGAACAGACAAGTGGCCCATGTTAAGGGACACAGGGTCATTGATTATATCTCCCAACTTGCTTAACTAGATGAACAGTAAGAAAAAGAACAAGATCCATTTCGAATGGTAGGAATGGCAATTGTTGATCTAACCCAGGGCTCTCTGAAGGAAATGTAATGCAAGCTGCACATATAATTTTAAAATTTTTCTATCAGCCACATTCCTAAATGTTTCAAAAGTGTGAAATTGATACTTATTTAACCCAATATATCCAACATATTATAATTTCAGCATGTTCTAAAAACTAACAATTATTGAGATATTTTTTGTCATCTGTCAAACTGTGTCTTAGAGCTCCAGAGTGCATTTTACCAGAACACAGCGCAGCTTCAATGAGCCATATTTCAAGAGCTCAGTTGCCCCATGTGGCTAGTGAAGACCATATTGAACAACATAGGTCTAAGCTCTGCTGACCCCTCATCTCCTGCTCTGAACAGTCCACTGTCTAATCATATTAACTGCTTATTGAGGGGTTACTATGTAACAATCCCTGGACTCACATTTTCTCATTTTATTTGGCCCTCTCTATACCCTACTACTATTTTTCCTTTTTATTTATTTATTTTTATTGTTTAATTTGTTCTAATTAGTTATAATTGACAGTGGAAAACTATACACATACATAAAAAGAAACTGTCTAGGTTTGGTTGACTATTGCCTTCATTTCATAGATTCAGAAACCAAGGTAAAGAGAAGTTAAGAAACTTATTCCAGTTCATGTGGCCTGTATGTGGTGGCAGGGCTCTAGCCCAAACCTTCTGGATGTCAACCCTCTTCTTAACCTTGTGCTAGCCTGCCTCCCACTTGGAAAGTTTAAAACTTTAATACTATGTTGAACAATCAATTCTATTGCAACACATTCTTTTTAATAGGATTTCAGAAATGAGAACTTAAGTTGAGCTAATGGTTCAATGGCATACTTTTGTTTAGTGGCAGAATTGAGATCAGGAAAAAAAATTGTATCAATTACCAAAGGAAAGGCACTTAGCAATGCTGTCTAAATGACAGAATACATGACTTCATTATGATATAAATATCATTATGGCACTCTAGGAAAATCCAATAAAT